GTCAAGGTCGTTGGGTAGAGAAAGTTACCTCTGTACATGTAATTTCGGTCTGTAGATGGCGCGCATGTAGATGTATGTTTGTATAGTCTAGTGGTTATGGCACATGTTTGCACATGTGGAGGTTGTGGGATCGATTCTTGGCGAGTGCATTTTTCCCCTCAGGAAGAGCGTGGACACCGTAATACTACTCTTGGTGATGCTCGCCAACGCTCTGTAAGGCAATACTCTCGGAGAATATGTGCAGACCGAAGCATTCTTGAGGACGTCCTTTCGGAGTTCCTGGCCACTTTACTGTAATAGAGTGGTGACTAGTGTGTCGGTAGGGGAAAATATGCACATTGTCAAGTACAGGCGTTGGTAAAGTGAGTAGTAATAGTAGTAAGTAGTAGGGAATTGTTGTTGGTTTCTGTACACTTCTACCAGAATTCGTATGTAAACTTGTATAATTAGGGAGGAAACACCTGAGCTCAGGTGAGGGAAGCGGTGAAGGTATATACCTCCAAAAGTTAGAGGAGTCTGCTGATGGTGCCTTGGCAGCTCGTAGTGGTTATTGCGTTTTAATGGAGATAGTGAAAAATATATTTAACGACTATTGCATAGCGCGAATATCGTGTTTTTCGCAGAGTATTACACCACTTCACGTAAAACGGGTTGTGAAACTCCAGTACGTTAGTTGCATAGTTGCCAGCCGCGGGTTTGCGCCCTATGTTAGGACACATACAAGATGTATGTTTGCGTAGTGATGCTCTATAGTAGCTGTTGAGAATGCGGTTGACGAGTTTCTTTGTTTTTAGTTTCACGTGTCTAAACACGGAAGAGTACCAAAGGGCGAAGGATGCCCGTGTGAAGGGTCCTCAGACACCAGGAGACATGCACAGGGAGGGTAGTCGGACGGCGGTGAACCAAATGTATCGTCAACCTGGGAGCGCTGCCCAGCAGCAGCAGCAGGCACTCCCTGCTGTTGGGGAAGGTAGGGGGTCTGTTGTCATCGTATTTTTCTTTATATGTCGGACGCTCGGCAAAGGACGATATGAAAATCATCGAGAATCGATCTTGACAATTTTCTGATCATCATCACCGCCGCACAAGGCAAACAGTGAGATGTCTACATCTATTTATATACTCATCAAAAGGCCACCCAAAACTCGTCTAACAATATGCATAGTACTGGTACTAGCAACGCGTTGACATGTTTTAATGTCCACTCCGGTTGAAAATGCATTCTTTAGCACTCGAGGGATGGATTCAGAAATAGCAGCCGCGGTGGTACCAATGACAAGTGGTACTATTTTAGTTGACAACTA